ATATATACATACATACACACACACACACACACACACACACACACACACACACACACACACACACTGGTTTAGATGACACTTCCTTTTTATAACAATGGGGCCTCTCATTTTAATCCAGGTCAAGTAAATTGCCGGCAATTTAAATTGGTACTTACACAAATATATAAATGGCTTCCTTAATGACGCACTGCTGTTTTATTTTAGAGGGATGATCTCATGACTATGGGGGACTGGAATTTGCTGGGCAGTATCTTAGAGGAAGTTCATCTCCATTCCACCATAGTGGGCAAAATCTGGCTCACCATCCTTTTCATCTTTCGCATGTTGGTTCTCGGTGTGGCTGCTGAAGAAGTCTGGGATGATGAGCAAGAGGAGTTTGTCTGCAACACCGAGCAGCCGGGTTGTAACAACATCTGCTACGATAAAGCTTTCCCCATCTCTCTAATCCGCTACTGGGTGCTCCAGGTCATCTTTGTCTCGTCTCCTTCACTTGTTTATATGGGCCATGCCATTTACAGACTGCAAGCCCTTGAGAAAGAGAGGCAGCGGAAGAAAGCCTACCTTAAAGAGCAGCTCAAAGAGATAGAACATATTATAGAAGATCACCGGAGAATAGAGAGGCAGCTGAAGAAGCTGGAAGAACAAAAGAAAGCAAGCAAGCCTCCCTTGCAAGGGGCTTTGCTATGGACCTACATCCTTCATATCTTGACCCGATCAGTCTTAGAAGTGGCCTTCATGGTGGGCCAGTATCTTTTGTATGGGTTCCAAATGAATCCACTGTATAAGTGCACCCTCCCACCCTGTCCTAACACTGTGGATTGTTTTGTGTCCAGACCAACAGAAAAAACAATCTTCATGGTTTTCATGCATAGCATTGCAGCCATTTCACTCTTTCTGAATCTCTTGGAGATTGTTTATTTGGGGATCAAGAAGATTAGAAGCACCCTTTTTAGGAAGTCCAAGAAGAAGCTAATGACCGCCGAGGAGGAGGCTATCTTTAATTTCCCCAAGAAAAATTCAATGATGCAGCAGATTTGCAAAATGAGTGATTCATCCCACCAAGATAGTTACAAATTTAGGTCAGAGGAGCAAGCGAGGCTACCCGTCTCCTTGAATCTTGAAGAAGGATATATATTTACTGAACAAAACCAGCACCCAGGCAATGGAGAGCAACAATGGCGCAGAAACTGCAGAAGCTGGACCAATCAGTATCCAGATCGACCACATCCTTATGGGCATCTCGGATACCCCAATGGGAATGGAGAACATCAACACAGGCTGTTCTCCAGGCATTATACAAACCTCATGAGTCAATGCCATAACGATGAGCATCTGATTGCACCCTGCAGCGCTGACAACATTCCAATGGAAGCAGGGCAACCTGTTGACCTCTACAGAAAGAGTGAATCCAATGCTTCAGATGAGTCCAAGAACCTTCCACACGCTTCTAAAATTTCCATAGTATCCAACCCCAGGGAGAGCCCTCAAGCAACGTTTCAGAAGCATAGCTGGGAACTTAGCAGCCGGGACTTAGGAGATGATAATGGCAGCTCTCCAAGCACCATGCCTTACCAGAACCACAACTCCAGCCTTTTACCCAGAATGCTGTCAAAGAGCCAGCTGGATATCGACTCAGTGACCTCAGACTCACAGAATGGCTCGGTCTTGGAAGCTAAATGGCAAGATGACAGCAGCCCTCCTATCACACCCTCATTTTCAGCCCCGAGGGGACGCAAAATGTCAATGGCAAGTAAACCCAAGCAAACTTTCTGCTATATTGCTATATTCTGCTATAGTGTGAGTTATTGCTCTTTCACATCCTTTTAGCCTAGGCCTTGGGCTTAGGGGTTTGTCTGTGAAAACATTCAAACATGAAAGGTAGAAAGGTAATGAGGTTCTTTCAAATCAAAGGAAATGTTTGAAAAATGCAATTGTTTCAGTAGAAGGGCATTCTTTATATGGTTCACCGACAAATGCACGTTCGCCAAAAGCGCGCTGACGAAACCGCAGTGACAAAAACCGTGAGTTTGAAATCGCGCCGATGAATGAGCGCAGAAGCGCGCCAACAACAGCATGCCAACAACAGTGCGCCTTCAACGAACAAGTAATAACAACCAAATAACCCTAACCCTAACCCTAAACTTAACCCTAAACAAAACCCTGAACCTAACCCTTACCTTAACTGAAATCGCATTTTTGTGCGCGTGGTTTTGTCGGTGCATTGTTGTGGGCGTGATTTTGAACTCGCGCTTTTTGTCACCACGGTTTCATCGCCGCGCTTTTGACGTGCGCGCATTTGTCGGGTCACATCTTTATATAATATTGAATAAAATCAGCTGAGTATTATTTTTTTAAAAATGGGTGACGGAGAGAAATATGGCAAGAATATTTTTTAAAAAAAAAAATCTTATGTCAGTTAGTTTGTTGAGCAAAGCTCTGAGATGCAGGATTTATGTAATGTCCAAATTGCGTCTTAAAAGATATATAGTAATTTAATTTAAATACTTTTTTAAAGTATTTGTTCTAGTGGTATTTTATTACAAGTTAAGACAGGCGCAAACTGTATCAAAAAAAGTGCCAAGTTTGTTTACCAAAGCATAAATGCACACATTTCTTGATAAGGCTTTTAAACAATTCATTGCACAAACCTTTCTAAACTATATGCAGGTAAGAAGAATAAGTTTCTATTTTGAATTGCTGAAGAGATTTCAGCATGGGTACTTTTAACACTCTTCTTAATTTAAATTTATACATTTATTTTCTTCTAGTCTGGTATTTACTTACTTTCATATCTGTTCTGTCTTATGTGCATGTGTTATACTTGATGTGAATTCTCTGCATGTTTGAAAGAGAAAGTGTGAATGTGGGAGTGGGTTGTGAGGGGGCATTTCAACTAGTTATTTAGTCTTTTCCAGAATAATAACCTTAAAATGCATCAAATGACATTAGCAAGCCAATGTTGGGGTTGTGGGAGCAGAGAACCTAATTCAGTCCTAGTTAAGGACTTCTCATTTAACATTTATTGATTTTAGTGGAAGAGCTGTATACATTTACCTAACACTCCCATTGAAATCAGCAGAGATGTGAAAACATCTACCTTGTTTCCTTGAAAATAAGACCTCCCTGGATAATAAGCCCAACTGGGCTTTTGAGCGCATGCACTAAAATAAGCCCTCCCCTGAAAATAAGCCCACCCCTAAAATATTTAAATCCATGCACAGCTGGTCCTTGCCATTTGTGGGGGAAGGGGGAACATGCCCACGCACACCACATGCACCGGCCATCCACGTGGAACGACCTTGCAGAAGCCGTTCCCGCAAACCCTAGCTACCATGCCCCTTCTCTAAGTGGCAGTCACAAAAATAGTGGCAGGCCCAGCGACGCTAGGGCTGGCAAGAGTGTGCCAAAAACAGAGACAAAACTTCCGACCCTCTCTGGATCAGCTGATCCGCAGACCAAGGCTAAGAGGCCTCCTGCACCTCAAAAATAATGAGACCTCCCCGAAAATAGCAATAGCAGTTTAGACTTATATACCGCTTCATAGTGCTTTCAGCCCTCTCTAAGCGGTTTACAGAGTCAGCATATTGCCCCCAACAATCCAGGTCCTCATTTTACCCACCTCGGAAGGATGGAAGGCTGAGTCAACCCTGAGCCGGTAAGATTTGAACAGCCGAACTGCAGAACTGCAGTCAGCTGAAGTAGCCTGCAGTGCTACATTTAACCACTGCACCACCTCGGCTCTTAAAATAAGGCCAAGCACTTATTTCGGGGGCCAAAAAAAACAAGACCCTGTCTTATTTTCAGGGAAACATGGTAGCTGTGGATGAATTATGGCCTATTAAATCACCAGTCTGCAGAAGCATGCTTAACTTCTAATTTTGTAAAACTATGCACATTTTTATTATGCCGGAAGCTATTTGAAATGGCCCCCATATACAAGGTACTACTGGTAATCCTCTATTAGTAACCATAATGGAGCCTGCCCATTATGACCATAAATCATGACGGTTGTAAAGCCGGTCACCCACATGAGTGACCCAATTTTATGACTCTTTTTACAGTGATGACCAAGAGAATGCCATACAGTATTTAATTGAAAAATTGTTCAATTTGGTCCAATTTTGCCAAAAACTGGAAGCAAATGCCAGATAGAAAAAAAGTTATAAAATCCAGTCATGTGACTGTGGGATGTGAAAATGGACAATTGCAAATGCCAAAAATCCAGTCATATGACTGTGAGGGAGCTGTCATAGAACTTGGAAATCAGGCCATTCAATATTCGCCCAGGGCAGTCTGTTGTAACTCTGGTCGCTAAGCAACCAGTCATAAGTTGATGACTACCTGTAATACCTTGATTAATATGTCCGTCACTGAGAGCCACTTTTCATGAGATGGGAGGCTAAATTTGATTAATAAATTAAAAAAAATAGTAATAAGCAGAAGGTTCAGTTTGCTTTTGTGCAAGCCGAACATGATAACAGAATGCCAATTTGCTTTCGGGTCCTGTAGTTTATCAGCTCAATTGGCTGCACTAGTTTGATCAGCCAATGAGCAAAGTATTGACTAGCAACATTGCAACACTGCTTGGAGGCTGGAGCAGTGCAAAACCACTCAGAAATTTCCTTGCTTTTATTTTTAGCTATCATTATATTAGTCGTCTTTATAACTATCATTGTATCAGTAGGGACGTGGTGGCTCAGCGGCTAAGACGCTGAGGTTGTCAATCAAAAGGTCGGCAGTTCAGGGGTTTGAATCCCTAGTGCCACGTAAAAGAGTGAGCTCTCATTACTTGTCCCGGTTTCTGCCAAGCTAGCAGTTCGAAAGCATGTAAAAATGCAAGTAGGAAAATAGGAACCACCTTTGGTGAGAAGGTAACAGCATTCCATGCTGCTTTGGCATTTAGTCATGCCGGCCACATGACCTGCTGGCTCTTTGGCTTTGAAACGGAGATGAGCACTGCCCCCTTGAGTTGGGAACGACTAGCACATATGTGCCAGGGGAACCTTTACCTTTGCCTTTACTTATATCAGTAGTCTTTGTTCCTTTCCACATAATACTAGAACTCAGGTTCATCCCAATAAGTCCAGCTGATGAATGATTCAATATTGATGGAAGATTGTGTTATTTTAATAACTGTATAACTAACTGACAGTCTTTAACTTAGCTAGCTTCCAAAGGCAAGGGATCCATCAACATCAAGGATCGATTGTGACTCAGTGGTGCCCACCAGGGAGCTCTCATACCCAGGGCCAAAATGGGAATGAGTCCTGATTGTTGGGAAACGAAGAGCAGGAGAATGCCAGTAACCTGTGTCTGGTCACTATGAGGAATGGGAAACCGAGCTAGAGTAATTTTGATTTGATCTGAAGAAGAAGAACAACGAAAATCCAGGTTTTTTCAAATGAGTAACTGACTAAAACAGGGGTGTCAAACTCGCGGTCTGTGGGCTAGATGCGTCACGTGCTGGCCATGCTCACCTCTGGTTTAGCGAAGGGGAAAAAAGTTGTGATATGTCACATGATGACAACGTGACGCCAAGAGTTTGACACCACTGGACTAAAATAACCTTCAAAGCTATTTAGCAATGGTGAAATCTACATTTTTTGCCACCAGTTCTGCGCGCGTGGCTTGGGGGCGGGGGGGCGTCATGTGACCAGGTGGGCATGGCCAACTTTCCCCCACTTTTTAAAGCATTTTTTCCTTGCCGGTTCGGGCGAATAGGTAGGGAAAAAAATGCTTTAAAAAGTGAAATAAAGACGATCCGATGATTGCGCGGCTCATAGCTTATCAGTGCGATCGTTGGCAGCTTCCCCCCACTGCTTTTTAAAGCAATTTTCCTGCCTATTCGCCCAAACTGGCAGGAAAAAAATGCTTTAGAAAGTGTTTGTGGGGGGGGAGGGAAGCTTCTGAAGATCGCGCAGCTCACAGCGGAGCCGCGTGACCCTCAGAAGCTTTTTTTGTTTTGTTACTACTGGTTTGCAGAACCAACGGCAATCGTCCCTGCTTTGACCCCTGATCGTCTTTGTGTTTGTCCTAGAAGCTGACTCAGCCTCTCCATTTTCTCTTTCAGAATGTGCTCTTAGAGCTCTCTTCCATCATGAAAAAGTAGTACTAGTTTTACTGCGAAGTTACAGAACAACAAGAATCTCCCTTGCACACCATTGCCACTATGAAGCTGAATTATTTCCCTTTTTCTCCTCCGATCTGATGAGAAAGCAACCGAAGGCAGATACTTAAGTATTCTATAACTTCTGTTGTCTGGGCAGTCTGTGGTGGTAGCTGAGAGCGAGCCGTAATTGTCTCTTTCAAGCTGGACTGTCTTCTCTCTTGCATAAGTAAGAGAAGCTTCAGTGGACATAAAAAAGAGCTTTCCTCAGTGAAGACCGTGGAAAGGAGGGGTAGTTTGATTTGTAACACTGCAAACCTTCTTATCCAAGTCAACGTGCAACTTCAAGGCTCTGCGAAGACACAAAACTTCAATAAAGTTGGGCGAAGGAAGAAGAGACTGCGTCCTTTCTTCCCCTCGCTCGACCTGATGAATAAAAAATGAAAGCTCCCTACTAGAACTTTCTACCACTACGTTGCATGTTAACAAAGATGTTTAAATCCAACCTGGATATGTGCAGCTGTCTTTCTCTTCCCTGACTCTTCAATGTGCTAATCTTATATTTTTCGAAGGGCTGTTAGTATTACTTTGTTTCTTGGTGGCTTCCAAATATATAAATTAATACGGGCTGAACAGTTGTAATTTTTTTAAAAAAAGGGAATACTCCTGCTTCAGAGGAGAGGGTTTTGTTTATTCTGCCTTCAAGATTTCCAAATAAACAATTTACATCCCCCCCCCTACTTCGGCGGCTTCTGGCGTAAGCCCTTTTTTGCTGCCGCTTCCAAAATAATTGGGTTTCAATGCACATAGGGATTGTTCTGGGTTTTTCAACCCGGAGCTATTCCTGTCCCCAATAATGTATGGGAAAACAAGGCAGGGGTGGGTGAGGGGTAGACTTGCATTAAAAACAACTGTCAATAATG